AATATATCAAATTGTTAAAATAATGATACATTTTTATTATTATCCTTTTACATTTTACCGTTAATTAAGAATCATAAATTTAATTAAAAAAAAATTTTTTTAATAGTAAAAAAATTGAAAAACCTTGATAAAATCATAATATTTTGCATTTACGACTTTCGAGTTTCGAAGAATTACATAAGGTTTGGTTTATTCATTTAAATTTTATATTACCAAAAATATTTTTATACTCTCATTAAACAAATGATAAAATTTTACTTTAATTTTAAAATAACAGACAGAGTTGAAATATAATTAGATTTAATTTAATCTACAGCAATAGATAACAAAATTTGAAATATATTATAATATACATCAGTCATAAAACAAGTCAGAGAATACAAGCTTTGGATTTAATTATAAATGTTAAATTAGGTTCTGATTAAATACAATATTTTATATCATTATAACATTATAATAAAGCTTACAAAATTGTTCATTTAAATGAGTTAATACTAAAAAACGTTCGAATTTAGCATTTACAATTTTTTTTTCAGTAATCTTTACCATTAAATTTTAGTTCGTTAAAATAGAAGACAAATTTAAAAATGTTAAAAAATCTAAAATGGAAAATTTAACTGAAATTATTTATTTTAATACTTTTTTATTTGCTGCTTAAATGACTTATTCATAATCAGAGAAAACAATTCCATTCAATTATCTCTGAGTTTTTTAAATTAATTCTTTTTATTACAAATCAATTTATTTCCTTATATCAAGCATTTATTTTAAAATTTATTCTTCTAAAATCATTTTTTACATCTTTGTTAATTCCTACTATAATAAATTTTGTCTTTATTAATCTAAATTTTTGTATTGCTAATCAAAATTTTAGTATTATTACTTGTACTCATTTCTTTTTTAAATTATTTAAGTTAATTTATTTTATGTTTTTAAATCCAAGTCAAGAATTATTTAAACTTTTTAAAATTAAAATTAATCTAAGTTTTTTCTTCTGAATTTATTATTTGTGCTGATAATTTAACATCCTTAGAATTTTCTAAAAAGACATTTAAATATAATCAAATCAGGTAATTAACTGTTTAATACAATAATTTTAGTATCTTAAAGTTTATTATTATTATAATTCATCTTATATAATTTCAGCTACTATAAAGAAGAAATATAAATTATCGATTTTTAGGTAAATTATTTTTTTAGATTAGCTAAAGTCAAAATGATTTGTATTGTATTTAGAATAGTATAAATAATATCCTTTTGTTCACTATCTGAGGAATGTTCAATCTTAAAGAAAGTTAGCATTAAGACTGAAGCTATCAAAAACACATATTATTTAAATTGATTTAGTTATAATATCAAATGAATTCTATTATTAACAGATTTTCTACTAAATACTTCTAGTAAATCCACACTCACGTAAGAATATAATTTGAAAAATGGATAGATTATGTTAAATAAATTATTAAATCTAAGTTAATATTTATTCTACACTTATACTATTTGTATCAATGTTATTATCAATAGGAATAAAAATATGAAAAATGATATTATTTTACTATATTACAAGGTATTTAAGTAAAAAGCGTAAAAAATGAAGGCTTAGATTGTAGGATATATAACATACCTTGGAGAGATTAATTCAATACATTCTTGTGCTTTTATTTTTGTAAAGACTGCTTTAAGTTATAAAAAGCAATCTAGGTAAACAAAAGATAATATAGAAATAAATGCTTAAAAGCAATCCATTTTTTCATTTATATTGAATTATTATGTTAGCATCAATAAAAAATAAAGATGCTGAGAATCCAATAAGCAGATTTATCTATAAAACCATTCTTCACTATCATTTTAATTAAAATAGACTTTGTATTTATTATATCTTATCAGAAAATAAAAATCTTCTATTTAAAGTATTTCTAAAGCAAATACTAAATAATATTCAGCTCCTTTTAGATTTAAGATATTTTTTGCTCGCTTTATCGAAAGAAAACAGATTGCAATATGAAAAGCTATTTACCAGTAACTGTACAGCTAATTAATTAAAATGAAAATTGATATTATTGTTAAAATTTAATTAAGCATTTATTTACCTCTTCTTTATTTAAGAAAAATAAAAGACAGTTTAATTAATTAGCCTTTACAAATAATGCTAAACCAAATTTATTTTTCATAGTATTTATTTTTCTTTCTACTAAATTAAATATACAAATTTACTTTTGCTTTTTTCTTCTAATTATTCAAAAATAGCTTTTTATTATTTTTTTTCAAATTAAATTATTATAATATTAAAAGCTGTCCTTCAAATTATTTATTGTTAAAAGCATAATAAAAAACATGTTTTATTCTTTTATAAATAAATAAATATAAATTCAAAAATCAGATGCTTGAATACTATGTTTTATAAGGTAGTTAAAAGCATACTTTAACTCCTTACTAATGGTCCGTTGTTTAATTTCCATTCAACCAAAATATTTTTTTAAATGATAATCTCCATAAAAAAATTTTTTGGCCCTTATTTTATGCAGCTCTAATGAGGGTTTAGAATATTTTATTCTTTTATAAATAAATAAATATAAATTCAAAAGATCAGAAATTTATTTGATTTCTAAGTTATTCTTAAAGTATTTCCTTCTAAAAACTTAATATCTCAACTTAAAGTATCTTTAGACATCTTTTAAAGTGCGATTAATAATTTTTTGCTAAATTTTAATAAAAAGACAAAAAAAAATGTCCCGTTTTGTCAAAACTAATGAAAACTTTAAGGATGCATTTAAAACAAAAAGCTATAATGCAAATAAACTCATATAATGTTAAAATAAATTATAACAAAATGCCATATATTTGCTTTTAATTAGGTAATTTTTTAGCTCAGCTAAGCTAATAAATTAATTAATTAATCAAATATATGTAATTAAATACAATTCACTAGTTTTTTGATAATGGCATTTTGCTATATAATAAACTAATTTGTATTAGAAAGTCATTTACTTCAATTGAAAATTCGGATATTTGGAATATAGAGTTTGTATCCACTTTATGACTTACAGATACTGATATAAATAATTCTTTCTACTACTTTTTTAATTATAAAGAAAGAAATTTACTTTTTCATTCTTAAATACTTCATATAATTTTCTTTTTGATTTAGTAAATGAAAAAAAATAAAGAACAGAAAAAAATCAATAAGATTTTATAGCATAATGAATTATTAGCTAAAAAAGGATTAGTTCTGAGGGAAATGGAGTCAGATGGAAATTGTTTGTTTAGATCTGTTGCTGATTAGCTGTATGGAGACTAATCCTTGCATTCTGACATCAGAAAATATGTGATTGAGTATTTAAAAATAGAGAAGCCATATTTTATAAATTTTATAGCTGAGATGGAGGAAAACTCTAAAAAAGGCAAAAGAAAGAAATAAAAAATAAAATAAAAATAGGAAAAGCAGTAGAAAGAGAACGAATAAATTGAGAAATAGGTAGAGATAGAACCAAAAAATGAATTAGATTTGCTTTTTGATAAATATGTATAAGAAATGTCTGAAAATGGAACATGGGGAGATAACATCGAAATATAGATAATAAGCGAGATATATCAGAGGAGTGTAGAAATTTATGTTGCATTCTAAGAAACTCCAATGAGGACCTTCCACGAAAATCAAGACAAATTTAAAGTTAATGAGCCTATTAGGCTTTCTTATCATGGAGAATGCCATTATAATTCTATAAAATCTCTCAACCATGAAAAACTTATTCAAGAAAAAATAGGTGTAGTAGAAGAAGAATCAATACATAATGCTAGAAATAGACTAAAAAACTTAAGCTCAAAATTAAATGATAATGGAGACAGCTTGCTTTAAAATTTTTATAATTCATGTAGATCTTAATTTTAACTTTATGATAACGAAGAACTATATAATAGGTTTATTTCTTAGCAATCAGAATAATAATTAAATGAAAACGCTTAATCAAATGAAGGCTATTAAATGAGTTATATATATCAATCAGAGCTTCTTAATCACTAAAATGACAATTAAGATTTAGCATTACAAATAGCTATTGAAGAGAGTAAATATCTAATGGATTAAATGAAAATCTAAGATAATGATCAAAATAATAATAATAGTAATAATCATGAAGATAATTCTTAGCAAAAATAAAATCTGATAGAAGAAATTCCTGATAATAAAATTAAAGAACTATAATTCTAATAACCAAACGATCAAATAAATCAAATTGACTATGAAAAAATAATAGTAATCAACTCTGTAGTTAATGCTGGTTTTTCAAAGGAACAAGCAGAATAAGCGATGCAAATCGTGGGCCCTAACGAAGACCTCATTGTAAATTACATTATTGAAAATATGATGTGATGTGAGTGGCGGCGTTTAGAATTACTTGATCTGATATATCTTTGCCATATTTTAAAATTGGCTGTAATAAAAAAATGCAAATAATATTTTTCAATCCACAGGAATTTTTTAATGATTGTAAAGTTTATTTTAAATTTTAACAGCAACCATACCTTTTGATTTAGCATTTGAACTACATCTAATTAATTAAAAAAAGACTGATTATATTAGGGAATATGTCTATAATAAGAATGAATTATTAAATTTAAAATAAACTATTAGAAATAATAAAAGGTGTTGTTGGTTTTGCAAAACAAAATTAAATTACAAAAATATATAAATCGACAAATAAATAAATAAATAAATATTCAGTTTTATGGTAACTCTATATTAATTTAATGCTCAAAAATATCTTCATTTTTATTATTTTAATTGCTTAATTAGCTAAATTAAATACTATTGCTATCTTTTATTAAAAAAATATATATTAAAAATTTATTTTAGTTTTAAAAATATATTTTGAATTGTATTTACATTAAGGATATTCTAAGCTAACAAGTTTATGAGTTTATATATTCTTATCTTCTTTACTTAAAACAACTTTTTAAGCATTTTCTTTACTAAAGAGTATATCTTACACGTTACCGCTTCTTATATTGGCATTAATCTCTTTTTCTATCATGTTTTGAGCACTTCCTTTTTCTATATTTATTTCTTATCCATAATTTGCTTAATCATTTTTTTCTTATTCATTTTATTTTTCTTCATTATTAATTACTTCATCGTAGCCCTCTTTTTCATTTATTGTGTTCATATTTTAGTAAAATTTCTTAAGGAAGTATACAACTATGAAAATTACCATAGCTAAGATAACGAAAGAAAAAGCAACAAGACCAATAAATAAGTTATCATCACTTTAATTTGAATCAGAGCTACTTATTTCTAACTACTACTAACTTTATTGTCGAAATAACTACTATTATAACTATTACAACTTAATGCATACTCCTTATGATTTCTCATCTCCCTTTTAGCTAGCTTAATATTAATATCCATCCTAACAGAATTATGAAGTATTGCAAGTTTAACCTGCCATAGCAACAAAATTATTCTGGCAACCAGAATAAACACATGATTAGTTTTATTAACTCCATTATAATCCGTCTTAACATATTTAAGAAGTTGCACAACTAGCTGCAGAATATGCTAGTTTTCCTCCCCCGCAATAAAATAAGCATTATCCTAAAGCTTGATAATACACATCTGTACTTGCACATACTAAATTATTAGGACAAGATACTTATTAGCATGCTTGATTACAAGAAAGACATTGATTTGGGTCTGTATTTGAGCAATAATTGCAACACAATTCTTATGCTGCCACTTACCCATTTAAACAAAAAGTGGTTTAAAGTTTTCTATCAATAAAATGCTTTGTTGCTAAACAGGAAAGCAAATCAGCACTTTGGATATATCCATCATCGCATTCCTCACATAAGAGAAGTGTTTTATCGTTATTACTTTTTATCTATTAAATTTAGTATCTTTTGCAATTTAAGATACTTTTACTTTTGATAATTAAAACAAGTTAGGATATTTAAAATAATAGAAGACAATTTAATTTCATTTGCTTCTCTTTTTTTAATGAATTCTTCAATTATTTTACATATTTAATATATGAATAAATAAATGATTCATATCTATATTAAGTATAATAAAAAATTTGTCATTTCTTCATTTTTTTTGCTCACCTTATTATGCAATTACTAATAAAATCTAGATGGATGGTGATTAATACTTTATTACAATATTTTTAATTGATCATCAAGTTAAATTTCAAATAAAAAAGCTTAATTTGCTCTTTCAAATCCTAATTTAAATATTATTAAGATAATTGTAGACTTTTTAATCTATTAATTTTTTTAGGTTTTTAAATACAATTAATGATTTTAAATAACCATTCTATCTCTTAAATAGTATGTATGTATGTATTTATATTACGATTTAATTAATAATAGAGTTAAATGTCTTTTTAATTTTGGATAGGCTATCTATGTTAATGAATATTTAATTAATGAAAAGGAATTTAGACAAATGTTTAGCTTAAAAAAAAATTTAGATGCAACTTATTATTTATTATAAGTAATGCACTTGAACACCATTAAACTACAAGAATATTATTACTATTTATGTATTATTTATCTATCTATTATAAATAATTTAAATAAAATACATATATATTTTTATGATAAAATTTTTTTGAAGGATTCTCTTTTATGTTTCCAATTAAGATTAGTATTCTTGGAATATACATTGTTAATTAAAATTAATGTCAGAATATAAGCAATTTATGATGAGTTGAGTTCTAAGTAATGCACTTGAATGATTTTTAATTTCAAAAATATTATGTTTTATGTATTATAAGTAATGTAAATAAAATACTTTTTTTTTTTTTTTAATAAAGAATTTTTAGATGGATTCTCTTTTATATTTTCAATAAATTACATGCTTTTATAATTAATTAAGAATTTTATTCTTTGAATTTACATTGTAGTAAATTAATAAATTCAAGTTAATATCTTTTGATATAAATTAATTTAAGAATATATGCAATTAATGATGAATTAATTATAAGTGACACACTAATGATTTTTAATCTGAATATTATGATGTAATATATTATCTATTTTATCTTGAATATATAATTAAAATTAGACGCTATAATTTTTTTAATTAAAATATTTTTATTTTTTAATATCTAATGTAATAGAAGGTTTAAAGAAAAACTTTGTGTTATTAAAAACTAACTTCATAATTTTTAATATATAAAATAAATAAATAATAAATAAAATAACAAAACAAAACAAATTATTTTAATAAAGAAACTCTTAAAAT